AGTTTTTTAAGAGCTTTCATTCTGGAAGATAAGCTAGACAGCAAAGGAATGCATAAATAGTTGAAGTTTTGATTTTAAAATATAATTAATATGGGTTTTGACCATTTGATTAATTTATATATCTCAGAAATTAAAATGATATTAAAAGGTATACACAGATAAATCTCATACCCGATTGGTAACCTTTAAAAAAATCAGTTCTTGTTTATCCTTCCATTGCTTTTGTCAGATAAAAGGAAATATTAATATACTATACTTTTAGATAGTGGAGGAATGAAACAGACTAGTCCAAGGTAATGTGATACGGAATGATTAGGAATGGTGTAGTATTAGGGTAGACAGGCTCTTTGAGATGGTGATACTAGCTGAATTCTGAGTGAGGGAACTTAGTATTTCAGAGGCAACAATAAAGACCTGGGAACACAGGTGGGAACATGTCTGGTGAGGGTGAAGAGTGGCTCAGATAAAGTCAGAAAGATCAATAGCATTTTATTTTATTTTATTTTATTCTATTTTATTCTATTCTATTTTATTTTATTCTATTCTATTTATTGTATTACTTTAATTATTTCATTTTATTTTGGTGGTGGAGGGGAAGGTCATTAGGTTTATTTTTAGAGAAAATACAGGGGATTGAACCAGGACCTCAGGCATGCTAGGCATGTGCTCTATCACTTGAGCTATACTCTCTTCCCTTCTAGAGCTTTTTAAAAGTTATCACACTGCATTCCCTTAAGGTGATGGGATCATTCTCTGGCACGTGAGTGCCAATGCCGTTGAGGACAACATGCGGGAAAAGATGAGACCTGTGGCAACAGTCGGGGGCCTGGGACCCAGGCTGCCTGAATATTCTAGCTAGGTCTCTGCTTCCCTATCACATGGAGTTTTGATTTCATCAGGAATCTCTGTAAGGAGGAAGAAGAAGGTTACTTTAGCAATCATCATTTCCTTGTTAAACCAGATACTACTTCTGAACCAAAAACAGTGATACAGGTTAGAGCATTTGTATGTGATGCTGTTATGAGTGATACTGTTTACTTCATATTCTTCAAGCTACTCTGCACAAAGTTTCTGGTGTATCTGTTGTGTTGCATCGGTGGGGAAATATGTGGATTCCTGAAACGTGAATTGAAACTGTGAATCTGTTGAGTGTACATGACACACACTCGTGTGTGATCTTTTAAGATCACTGGCAGGATTTGACTCTTCCTTTTGTGTATGTTTCTATTCCATAAGTGCACAAAGTGTAACTGTCCCCTGCACAGTGTAGGTCAGCCTTTGCAGGAAAAGGGGGCAGTGCCTTCTGCAGGCTTTTTGGTGGTGGATGACACCAGCAGTTCCTGTAGCTGTAGACGGGAATGAGGATCTTCTTTGGTTGTTGTTCACCTATCAAAATACAAAGTCCTCTCCCCATTGAAGTTTGTGTCTTAAATATAACTTGAGCAAAAAAAAAAAATCTGCTAATTCCTTCTCTCTAGCCATTCTAAAAACACCTGATAAGGATGCTAGGATTCCATTCAGAATTATCCCAGATAAATGACTTCTTATAGATGGGTCTTGTTTTTTCCCCCCTTGGATACTGTCATGAAAGTAGGCCCACCTTTCCCTACCATTGTGATAACTGCAGAATATTTTGTGAATTTTATTTAAAAAGTAAGTGACCATGATAAACTATCTGGGACCCAGAACTACAGGCTGGTTCAGAGGTTTTGCGTTAGAGGAAAGATTGAATGAGGAAATGTGAGAGACGGGTTCTCCCTCCCTGAGATCAGCCTGGGATTTGGAATAAAGAAAGTTTCTCTCCTCTCCTTCTCACCTCTATATTCTACTCCCTGAACTCTCCTGTCTCATCGTGGCTGCCGGAAATACAGTCAGTTTAAGTAAAAATAATGTTAGAGTTTGGTTCCATTTTGTTCTCTTTCCCACCAACACATTGGTTGGAATTTAAGCCTATATAGCAAGGCTCTTAAAGAGGTAAAATTACTGCATAAGCTCCAGATTGAACTCCAGAGGTCAGCAGGAGAAATCTCTGCTCTTATCTGAAGTTGTCACACTTAACTGTGAAAAGCAGACCACACCAGGGGCTGCTGAGAGTTGGTCAGGGAGCAGTCAATGCTTTTGAAACAATCTTTGACCATTAAGTGTTGATTGATGAGGAGGGTATTGGCTGGTTTCTCTGCCACACCCAGACTTGCCTTATTCCTAGCCATGCTGGTGTCAGGTGAGAGAAGGAAGCCACTCATATAAAGTCGTGAGGATGAGACAGAAAGGGAAATTTTTCTTTGGAGAAAGAGGGAAGAGCTCTCTGAGTGAGAGGGTGGGAACATGTGAGCAGATTCACAATAGTGGCACCTCAGTGTCCCAGTCCGTGATGAAGTTGGCTTTGATTGCTTGAGGGTAGCAGGAAGACCACTGAAAACACCCTAGAACTCTAGTGTTATTCTCCCAGGGCCCCAAATGATGGCCAAGACTGGTTGCCCAGGAAGTGCTGAAGTGGGACTCTTGCTTGCCTGGGGAATCATTGTAGCCTTGTGTCTGTCTTCCTGGGACTGAGACGTCCCCAATTGTTTCTCTCCCCTTCAGGCCGACGGACTTCAAGGATGCAGCTGCTACTACTGGAGGTGCATGGCACCTTACCTGAGCCGGGCCATGAGGCTATGTGGCCGTGATGTGGACCCCTCATGGCCTCAGCGGGAACAGAGCACTACAGTGTTGGCCTCCACCAGGGAAACAGCTTTAAGCAGAGTGGTCCCTCAGGCACAGTGCCTCCCCCACCACCTGAGAAACCCTCTGAGAGCAAAGTTTGGGCTCAGGCTCATCAGCAGGTGAAGCCAATCTGGAAGCTGGAGAAGAAGCACGTGGGGACACTTTCCGCAGGGCTGGGCCCGGGGCTCTTGGGTGTGCCACCACAGCCAGCATATTTCTTTTGCCCCAGCACTTTATGTAGCTCTGGGACCACAGCTGTCATTGCAGGCCACAGCAACTCCTGTCACCTGCACTCTCTCCCGGGCCTGTTCAGCAATACCCTGCTGTATCGCCGCTCCAACTACGGGCACCAACCATACCAGCAGCTGGAGTCTTTGTGCTTGCGTTCAAGCCTGTCACAAAAAAGACCTTTTTCTCTCCCTCAAAAGAGCCTCCCTGTCAGACTTACTGCCAGTAAGGTCACTTCTTCCAAGGTCTCCCCCATGGCATCCTCATCCACAGATCCATACCTCTCACTGGGAGCAGCTGGGGAAAATCCTTCGGGGAAGAGCCTGGCCTCTGCCATCTCAGGGAAGATCCCATCTCCTCTCTTCTCTTCTTCCTCTTCCTACAAGCCCATGCTAAATAACAACTCCTTCATGCGGCCAAATAGCACTAAAGTGCCTTTATCCCAGGCCACAGAGGGCCTGAAACCAGTATCCTCAACCAAGATCCAGCTTGTCTCCTGGCATCATCCGGGGGGTACTGGAGACTGTGTCCTCCAGCCAGTCGAGCACAAGGTACCCAGGAGCCATGGTGCTGTCCTGGATGAGGCCCCTTCCCAGAGCACCCTGTCTACCCCTAGCTCTTTAGACACTTCGACCACCAGCGTTGCCTCTCCCCACTGCAGCCAGAGTAACACAGCCACGAGGGCAGAGCCACATGGCCTGGATGGTGATTCTGTTTCCCAGGCTCTGACTAAGGAGGTTCAGTTCACTGAGGCTGTGAGGAAGTTGACTGCAAGAGGCTTTGAGAAGAAGCCGAGGCAAAGCTATCATTTTGAACAGTCTTATTTCATGAGCCCCCATCTGCAGTGGGGTCTCCTCAACAGGAACAGACGATGGAAGCCTCCTGTGGTAGGCCAGCAGCTCCTCGGGGAGGGCGCTGGGGCAGACAGTGGGGTCCTCCCTGGAGCCTCGGACACCTTGGAGTTGGACAGTACAGTCTTCTGTACCAAACGCATCAGCATTCACCTCCTTGCCTCACACACCAATGGGCTCAGCTGCAGCCCTGCCTGTGGATCTGCTGTCGACTCCCCACCTCTTAGAGAAGATAAAACCCCAGTTCTGCCTTCTCCTCCTCAGTCCCTTGGTATAGCCGAGGTGGCCACCCGTCTCTCTTCCATCCATCTGGGCAAACTTGGGAGGGAGGGGCCTAAGGAAGCCAGGGAGCTGGACTCACCTGCTAAGGATATTGGGTAAGTTGGAGAAAGTTTTTGGTTCATTTAAAGCTGTAGAATGTATATACATTTTGTGACACTGACCCTATGTCTCTGAAGGTTGGTTTTGTTTTTTTAACTGCCCTGGAATTTTGGTTTTCACTTTAGGGCAGAGGTTGGCAAACTACACATTGCAGGCCAAATGCCACCCTCTGCCTGCTTGTGTAGATAAGGTTTTATTGAAATGCAGCCATACTCATTCATTTACTACTATCTATGGCTGCTTTCTTGTTATAATGATAGGATTGAGTAGTTGCAATAGACTGAATGGCCCTCAAAACTGAAAATATTTATTATCTGGTTCTTTAGAGGAAGTGTTTTCTAACTCCTGTTTCAGGTTATAACCAGGGAAATATAAGAATACCAAATATCATGTGTTGGGGACTGTGGTTTCTCTGCTTAATTCCAAACCGAATCAGATTCTCAGTCATTTGTGGTTTGACAGTCATTTCAGAGTTAAGGCATATACATCCTTGGTCTCTTGTCTTGCACCTCGTTACTTCTCTGGAACCTTGGCCACTAGGGCCTTGTTCTGTGTTCCCAGAGAGAGGTCTTGGGCCTTTGAAGTCTATTTTCACACATTTATTGATGGTGATCTGTATGCACAATTTTGTATTTCTATGCTATGAGGAACTTCAAAAAAGATGGAAAGCATAGTGCCTCTCTGCAGAATAGGGGCTGTAGGGTTGAGGAACCATGACTAGACCTAAATTCTGAGGGCAAGAGAAATGAATTGTAAGGCCTGGGCACAAGACAGCAGATTGGTGACTGGGGAAGAGACAAACAGTGGGAGATGATGAAGGAAGGAGAATCTAACTGTGACCTCTCTTATGGAGTTGGCTGGGCTGGGGACATGATTCTTTCTTATAGTTCAGCTACTGACCTCCAGCTAGACCAGGTTGAAGCTGAAGATCTGGAAGAAGAGCTAATAGATGGGTTGGAAGACTGCTGTAGCCATGATGAGAATGAAGAGGAGGAGGGTGAGTAGGGGACCCTCTCACCTCCAACCCAGAATTGGTCACCACTGCTGGGGAAGGGGGCTAACAATTGTGTACCAGATCCTTGACTCACTCTGTCACCTACATTTATCATTCAGCTTGGGGGTCTCTGGGCAGTAGTGGCTTTTGGGGGACTTTGTTCTCTAGTTCTCCATCCACCAGTCTTGCCTTCTCCTTGCTGCTGTCGCGCTCAGGGAAGGCCGTGCGAGGCAGCAGTGGCTATTTGTGGTTCTGCAAGAAGACTGAGCCAAGGTGTCTGGGGAGGAGCTGCTTGGGCTTGGTGAGTTTGCGTGGCAGCCTCTCCCAGCGGGAACTTCTCTGCTCTTCCCCAGCAGACTCAGAGTGCTCCTCATTCAGTGCTGTCTCCCGCAGCGAGTCAGTAGCAGTGATCTCTCGGTGAGTGTTGGTTGGCTATGTGGATTGTTCTTAGATGCCTATTTTCTGTCTCTTTAAGATTATATAAAGAGATTAATCACCTAAGTCATTAATCAATGGCCCTATTAACCCTAACTCATTTTTTCTTTTTACCAGATTTTTACATTTAGGACTTTAGTTTTCAAACAGGGAGCAATGGAAGGGACCAGAAGCATATTGCATCAGTTGGGCTTAAAAATAGTACTATGTTCCTTAGGCTGCAATTTGGTCTTTAGTCTCCAAGAAATTGTTCAAGTAAAATTCAAGTAATCTAAAGAAGTGTTTGGAAAATTAATAACTAATTAAGGAAGAGACATAATGTTTGAGGTAGATTCTTAGTTAGGCTGCCCACATGGGTGTAGATGCCACCTTCACTATAGATGTATGCCACTGCCAGAAACAGTTCTGAGATAGCTATATCACTAACTGGAGCTTTCTGCAATGCTCTTTTGCTCTCAGTTTTATATTCTGAAATTGACCTTACTAATAAGAAATTGAATAAAAAATTCTCTAGCTTTAATCTAGATTATTTTATTTACTGCCCTTGATGAGATGTGAGTGGAATCTAACTAGGAACTCTAACTAGGAAACCAAAATGTCACTCTCTTAACGTAAGCCCTTCTTCTGTAAAGCAGATAATTGTGGAATGCTGCATAACTGAGGAGCCTGGGGAGAGGAAGGAATGCAGAACTATGAGGAAATTCCTGTAAATGAGGACATGTCATTGTGCTAAAGATTTTTAGAACTTGCTTAAGGATCATATAGACTACCTTTCTAGTAGAAGCATTCTTCAATATAATCTTCCTTGTTCCCCTCATCACTTCCAACTTTGTCTCTATATGAAGCTCTGTCATCAATTGTTATTCAGTATTAAAAAGAATTCTCACAAAGTACTATACATAAAGTCTTTTTCTCTTTAAAAATAACTTCTACTGAAATGTAAAACAAAATTCCTATTCTAATTTAATTAAAATCTGGCCATGTATGTCAAGGCTTGCCTAACATGTGGAGCAGCCAGACTCTGGTGGCTTTTCTTTGTGTCAGCTATGCCTTAGATGAAGCTAAGAGGAAAAGTTAGCTTTATCTAAGGTTAGTATGGATGAGGCAGACTGCATCTCTGTGAATATGATGGTGTCAGCAGCCATACCAGTCCCAAACCAGCAAGGTGGAAAGAGTTGTTTGGGAGATGGAGAGACAGAATTGGGACTTTCTGTGAAGGTGGATAGAAATCCTGTCATAGGTACCCTCAGTCTGTTGCATAAATTCTGTTACTTTAAGCCTAACCCATCTTTCTTTTCAGAAAAGAAAAGCTGCTTCTGGTTGCATATGTTGGATATTGACTAAGGGCCTCCATTCTCCATAAGAGAAATATATTTAACATGTAATTGACTTGGGGTCCCTTTTCCACACTTAAGGGTGATCTGGGTTTGTCTTCAGGCCTAATTCAAGATAGCTGCACAGCCCTTTATTTAACCTTTCTGATTTATAAGATAAAATTCACAAAAGGTGTTTGTTAATAATTTTCTCATTAATTAATTTAACTTCTACAAAATGTACAATCTACACAAAGCTTAAAACATGAGTTTTCAAGCAAATGGAGGTTGATGAATGCTAAACCACTTTGCATTTTGGCTAAGATGAGAAATACTTTTGGATTGCTAAAAATCTTACTTTTTCCCAATTATGAAAGATTTATATATTTATTATAGAACATTTGGTAATCACAGGATTATTGAAAACACTACCTGTATTTATTTCTCTACCGAGCAGTTGTTTATTAGGTTTCCTGTTCCATATTCTTTTTCTAAGAATTGCGTAAATTTAGAGATGACGATCGTCAAGTCCAGCCTCTTTTTTTCAGATATGAAAATTGAGGCTCAAAGAAGTTAAGTAACTATATGCAAGGTCAATGTTTCCAGCACTGCTAGACCAGGCCTCTTGAGGTTAAGTTCAGTACTCTTGAGAGGCAGCTAACAAATTTTCTTTTCTTTTCTTTTTCAGTTAAACTTTTGATTTTTAGACAATCGTAGATTCACATGCTGTTCTAAGAAATAATACAGAGATCCTCTGAATTCTTTACTCAGTTTCCCCCTGTGGTAATATCTTGCAAAACTGTAGTACAATATAGTACAACCAAGACATTAACCTTAGTGAAGATACAAATATTTCCATCACTGCAAGAATCTCTCCTGTTACCCTGATAGCCACACCTAATTCCCTCCTACTCCCTACCCTTTCTTAACTCCTGGCAACCAATAATTTTGTTGTTCCAAGAATGTTACACAAATGGAATGATAACCATATGTAACCTTTTGGGATTGGCTTTTTTTTTTTTTAACACAGCGCATTCTCTGTAGATTGATCCAGGTTGTTTTGTGTATCCATTGTTCACTCCTTTATATTGCTGAGTAGTGGTCCATGGTGTAGATGAACCACAATTTGTGTAATCAGTCACCTGCTGAAGGATATTTTGGTCGTTACCAGTTTTTGGCCGTTACAAATAAACCTGCTCTAAACCATTGTGTACATGTTTTTGTGTGAATGTAAATCTTCATCTCTCTGAGATAAATGCCTGGGAGTGCAATTGCTGGGTTGTATGGTAATTGCATGTTTAGTTTTTTAAGAACCCACCAAAACTGTTTTCCAGAGTGATTGTACCATTTTACATTCCTATCTTTGTTTTAAATCTTAACTCATTCTCCTTGATTTTCAACAATCTTAATTACTCAGTGAATGAAAAGCCTTTGAAGTAAAATATTTTGGAAATGAGGAATAGAATTTAATTAGTTGGAATTATTTAATTATGAATTAATATTTAACTTGACCCAATAAAATTCATTAAAAATCTCTAAGGTTTAAAACACTGAAGTGTTTTACATACAGTGCCTATTTTTGTTTCGCTGCAAAATAACAACTGAGAGTGGCTCTTTGTAAGTTAAAAATTAATCTTAAATAGTAATATTTTTGGATTATATCAGCTCATTATAGAGAGTAATAACTGTTCTCTCTGTTCTCAGTGCTATTTAAAGAAATGGTCTGGGTCTGTCAGATTGTAGCCCATAGATAGTTGAAGTTTACACTATTTTGAGATTCCTTGAGATAGACTTGACCGAGACATTGTTAGGATAACAGTAGGGACCCCATGGCCCACTGCCCCAGATTCCCAGGCTGCGTTACCGCACTGTTACATAAAAATCTGATGTCATGAGTCATTTCCAAAAGAGAGAAGAGCATTAGTCATCCATATATTGTCAGATAAATATAAAATGAGTTAAAAGTATCACTGTTCCTTTTCTTTCTGTTGCTTTTCCCTCTTTTTCTTTTAAAAACTCTCTATACCTCTTCTTAGGTCTTTTCTCTCTTTCCTGCTTTTCCTCCTTTTAGTTATCCATATCTTTTTTTCCCCCCTCTCCTCATTTATTTCTGTTTGTCTTCGTATAGCAGATTCCTCTACTAATATCCACTTAAACTCATTACCTGCTCTCAGAGACACTCTTTTCAGGGGCCTCCCCAGCCTGTGGCTTGTCACAGGAAATTTTGGAGCTGTGTCACAGAATGAAGTATTGGAAAACTTTGTCTTTAGGTGACATTTAATGGTGTGGCTGTGTCTAGGTTAGCTCTAGCACCTTATTGATTAGTATTTGCAAAATAATTATTGAGAACTTGGCTTTGTAAAATCACAACTTTAAAGATAGCACCCTGAAAGAAATGATATGTAATAGTAATAGCCCCCAGGGTTGTGGCTTTCCCTTTCTCTACCACATATCTCTTTTTCTTCTTAGGAACTGCATGGACATTCTGACCAAACCCCTTTCCAGTGAGAAAATTATCCGACCAGCCCTCATCTACAGTCTTTTTCCCAACGTGCCCCCTACCATCTATTTTGGCACTCAGGATGAGAGAGGTAAATCTGGCCAAGTGTCAGACTAGAAGAGCCTCCAGGAGAAGGGTGTTGGTGAAGTTGGGAGGAGGTGGCAATAGGGTGGAAGCAGCTTTTCAGAATGGCTGTATTGGTGCTTGGTTCCCAGCCTGGTTCACCAGTCCAATGTGGGGATCTTTATCTTGTCCATCCTGTAGCCAACCCTCTCAGCGCCATAATCTCATGCTTCATTCTTGCCTTCTAAACTTGTATCTTTCCCCTTTCAACCTCCTCTCCGCTGAGTGTTCTTCATTTCTGTGTAGCCCCTTTCTTCCCCAAAGTGTGCTCCTTTGAAACTGATATGGAACAATACGTAGTGACTTGCGTAACTAGGGAAGGTTGAATAACAGTGCCGTCTTTTTCCTCTTCTCACCATGACTCTCCTGCTCTTCTCAACACCCCCCCCTCCACTTTCCCCTAGTTGAGAAACTCCCCTGGGAGCAGAGGAAGCTTCTCCGGTGGAAGATGAGTACAGTGACCCCCAACATTGTCAAGCAGACCATTGGACGGTCCCACTTCAAGATCAGCAAGAGTGAGTCACTTGCCTTATTGCGAGCCTGTCTTCTGCCCCAACAGATGGGTTTTGGGCAGGATAAGAGCCCTAAATACTTCCTGCTATATGGGGACCCTGTCCTGAAGTTCCCAACTTCATAGGAGTACATAGTTCTGAAATCCCTCCAGGCCAGAGCCTAATCATCAAAATTGGAAGACAGAGGGCCATTGTTCTTCTCTTGACCCCAGGGCCTCCTGTAGGACAGCTCCATGGCAACTCTTAGAAATCTGGGGCTGGGAGCTATGCCCAGGCCCAGAGGTATTCCTAGGGCCTCTGATCCTCTCTCTGTCCTGGGGGCTGAGCTGCTAGTAGGCCTGATTTCCTGATGTACCTTCTGTAGGAAATGATGACTGGCTGGGCTGCTGGGGTCACCACATGAAGTCTTCTAGTTTCCGATCCATTCAGGAGCATCAGAAGGTAGGGACCCTTTCTGAGCCGCTCTTCCCCTGGACTTTGGACTGGGCAAGAGGAGGTTGCTGGTGGAAGTAGGGGACGAGGAGGATAACCGCGGAGAAGTCAAGAAGGCTTACAGAGGAGTGGGGGAAGTACAGGAGGAGAGTGCAGGATGAGACCCCAGTAGATCATGCATGTCTAGTCGTTCAGCTGCAGTGTCTTAGACTGTCACAGCCTCTAAAAGACACTTTTTTTCTCTAATGTGTCTTGAGATGGAGTGTCTGTTTTCAGTTTATTATGTTTCTCCTATAACCACTGCATACTGCCTGTGTTCCTCCAAGCTTAATATGTGTAAAGAGGACTCTGGTCTCCTCTTGGAATGAATAGTCCCTTGTCCCCCCAGGTGCTTTCCTCTCTTTGTCCCATAGGTATAGAAAAAGGCTTAACAGCTTTTTCTATGCTGTTAAGGTGAATATTATGTCTGTCTTAATTACTATTTTATGTTGTGAACTATTGGCTTCTAAAGAGCTCTAAATTTTGTTTTGTTTGTGTTTTAATCATCTTTTGGTGAATGCTCAGTAGCTGAATACTTAAGGACTTTTAGACGGTGATAATAAGATGGAACAAGAGCTTAGATTGTTGCTAAGGAAGTTCGAATGGTATAGTCTTACTGTCTTCCTTATGGTCTCATCTGGGCCCTCTTTCTCCCTGTTCCCACCCTTTGTCCCTTCTGTAGCTAAACCACTTCCCAGGTTCATTCCAGATTGGGCGAAAGGACCGACTGTGGCGGAACCTGTCCCGCATGCAGAGCCGCTTTGGCAAGAAGGAGTTCAGTTTCTTCCCTCAGTCCTTCATCCTGCCCCAGGATGCCAAGCTCCTGCGCAAAGCCTGGGAGAGCAGCAGCCGCCAAAAGTGGATTGTTAAACCAGTGAGTGAATCACAGCTAGTGGATCTCAGGCCAGGGCCTGAGAGTGGGAACAATGGGGTGTCAGGCCGGGTACAAATCTTCTCTCCTTTCCACTTGACTTCTAGCCAGCATCCGCTCGAGGCATTGGCATCCAGGTCATTCACAAGTGGAGTCAGCTCCCCAAGCGAAGGCCCCTTCTAGTACAGAGGTAAGCCTGTCTCCAGCTCCGATCCTGCTCCCCATCCTCCCATCTTCTCAGCCTAGAAGTTCCCTTCTCACAATGTTCTTTGTCCTTTGTCCTCCCAGTCAAAGACCTTCCTCAGCCAACTCTTTTAAGGTCTTTATCCCCAGGGGACTGTTAGCTGGCTTTTGCCATGGCTCAATTACCCACTGAGCTGTAGCTTATCTTTCCTGTCCTTGAAGTTGGCCTTTCCCTGTATAGGTATCTCCACAAACCCTACCTCATCAGCGGCAGCAAGTTTGATCTGCGAATCTATGTTTACGTCACCTCCTACGATCCTCTTCGGATTTACCTCTTTTCAGATGGACTCGTCCGCTTTGCCAGTTGCAAGTATGTGGTAGTGGTGAGGCCTCACCTTGACAGCTTTGGGTATTTGCTTTCTCTCCAGGGAGGGAAGCTGGAGGACACCAAACAAGAAAATAACCAGTTTTGGTAGTTTTTGTTAGCAAAGAATGTGGAGTGCCTTTGGAAGAACCTAGTCTTCCTTTTCTCCTGTGTGTCTCCTTTGCTTTTACATCAAGCACTTCATTTCTGACACTTCTGGTCACCAAATCTGTGGGTTTTTTCCTCCACGTGAAGCAATTCTACACAACACCAGATGGGTATCCTACAATTTAACTCAATTCTGACACTACCTGGAGACAGTGTCAGATCCCACAGGTTAAGGGATCAGTTTCACAAGGCTGCCCCTCCCTCCACCACTTCAGGTGCCAGTCTGCTTCTGACCAGTTGGCTGTAAATAAGAGGTGCCCATGATTCCCTCCTTGGGGCCAAGGGTTGCTGGAGCAGCTTACAGAATGCAAAAAATCATGTAAAAAATTATTGATCATGAACTCCATTCTCAGCTCTTCTCCCTTAAGAGAATGGGGATTGGTGGGTGCTGAAAATTCCAAGCTTCTAATCATGGTTTGATTTTTCCAGTGACTGGCCCTCATCCAGGAGCCATCCAGCAGCCTACCCAGAGTCACCTGGTTAGAATAAAAGACACTCCTATCACTCAGGAAATTATAAGGGTTTCAGGAGTTCCTGTGTCAGAAACTGGAGACAAGGACCAATATATATATTTCTTATTGTAAATCACAGTATTACATGGGGAATGGGAAATAAGGAGGTCCTCTACTTCACTGAATGGGAAGACTGTTCCTGCAGGACTGAGATGAGATCAGTTAGGAGATGAGCTTAGCTATGGTGTTCTAGAAACCTTTCAGCAGATATGCTTCTCAGGCCCTTGTGCATCTGAAGATCTGTCCACTTGTCTTTTACCTCCTCAGGACTTGGGAAAATGTTTGGGCCATTATCCATCTGCTATCTCACCATCTTACCTCTGCCTTTCTTCTCACTTTCAGGTATTCCCCTTCCATGAAGAGCCTCGGCAATAAGTTCATGCACCTGACCAACTACAGTGTCAATAAAAAGAATTCTGAGTACCAGGCCAATGAAGATGAAACGGCCTGCCAGGGCCACAAATGGTACCCAGACAGTGTCCCTGTCAAGTGGAGGCCTAGAGGATCACAGAGTTCTGGGGTTTGGGGAGGTGGGTGGAGGGAGTGGTAAGTGGAGGATTAATATAAGGCCCAAAGATTATATAAACGCTTGGCAATTCAGAATTGGTCTGTTTGCATCCAAGCTCATCTCTAACTTAATTCAAACCATCAAAAGAAAATTTATAAGGAAAATACCTTTGGGCTACTTACTCCTTTTTCTTTTTCTTTTTCTTTTTCTTTTTCTTTTCTCTCTCTCTTTTTTTCTTTTCCATTGTGGTTTATTTCAGGATATTGAATGTAGTTCCCTGTGCTATACAGTAGGACCTTGTTGTTTATCTATTTTATATGTAGTAGTTTGTATTTGTTAATCCCAAACTCCTAATTTATTCCTCTCCCACCCCCTTTCCCCTTTGGTAACCATAAATTTGTTTTCTGTGTCTGTGAGTCTGCTTCTGTATTGTAAGTAAGTTCATTTGTATCATGTTTTAGATTCCACATATAAGTGATGTCATATGATGTTTGTCTTTCTCTGACTGACTTCCTTCACTTAGTATGATAATCTCTAGGTCCATCCATGTTGCAAATGGCATTATTTCATTCTTTTTTATGGCTGAGTGTTGTTTCATTATGTATATATCACATCATCTTTATCTATTCATCTGTTGGTGGACATTTAGGTTGCTTCCATGTCTTGGCTACTATAAATAGGGCTTTCTTTCTTTTCTTCATCACTCATTCAGAGAGTATAACCCCAGATACTCCCTTCTTCCCCTCCCTGCCTTACAGGGCGCTGAAAGCTTTATGGAGCTATCTGAGCCAGAAGGGAGTCAATAGTGATGCCATCTGGGAGAAGATAAAGGATGTTGTTGTCAAAACCATCATCTCGTGAGTCACACTGCCACCCTGGGTGTGGAGTCTGCCGCTGAACCCTCTTTTTCCGGGGCCTCCAAACTGCTGTACTGCAGACTTTTGACCATGCTGTGTTTCCGTTTTTGAGGACAGGGAATAGAAAGAAGTGGATAGATTTAAATTCTGCCCTTCTACTGAACTTCATCCCCAGAAGCTGGCTCCAGGTCACAGACATCTCTTGAGAGCTTCTTTTTCAGGGTTGCTTCTGTCCATCTCTGGGCTGCTCCGTTGGCAGGGCAGCTCTAGGTAGGGCCTCTGAGAGGAGCTGAGCTGAATACTTTCACCTCCCTGTGACCAGGTCAGAACCCTACGTGACCAGCCTGCTGAAGATGTATGTGCGGCGGCCCTACAGCTGCCACGAGCTCTTTGGTTTCGACATCATGCTGGATGAGAACCTCAAGCCCTGGGTCCTAGAGGTGAACATCTCCCCAAGGTAGGTGGTATTCTCAGAGCACTCACAGTAGAACCTGTTTTGTATTCTTATGATCCTGTTTCTGCTCCAGACTTGCTGACTTGGGGAAGACCTTTCCTTCACTAGAATTTTTTTTTTCTTCATGGTCTGTTTGTTTACCCATTCCCTTATTCTTTGCCATTGTCTCAAGGTTCCCTGAGGATGGAGAGAGACTGTTAAAAGTTGCTCTTTTGAACTTGATTCCTATTGCATACTTTTCCCCTCTCAAACCAAGGTCATGGGCAGGATCCACCCTGAGGGAGGTTATTCACTATTTGTGGGCCAAGAAGACCCCCATGATGGTGCTCATGAGTTTGGATGTAAATGGGGCTCGCACTGAGTTGGACACGTGACTGGAAATAGTGTGCTTTTATTACTCTTTGCATCCTTTCCCTGAAGCCTCCACTCCAACTCCCCACTGGACATCAGCATCAAAGGCCAGATGATCCGTGACCTTCTGAACCTGGCAGGCTTTGTTCTGCCCAATGCAGAGGATGTCACTTTCAGCTCTAGCAGCTCCAGCAGCTCCACCACCAGGTCAGCCTCCTTGCTTGTCTGCGGCTCAGCTGTCAGCATGAGTGGCTCCATTGTGACTCTGGGAAGGGATGGTGTCTGGGCGTTCCCTCCTGCTTGGTCTCCCTTGCTGCTCAGTCTGCCCCTGCAATATACCCACTGACCACTGCCAAGTCAGTGCTCTTTAAAGCATGTTTGGTTGATTACTTCCCTACTCAGGAGTCCCCTTAGGGCCTGGGGAATCAGCTTTAAATTTCTCAAGCAGACATTTGAGGCCCAGGCATTCCTTTCTTTACTCCTCTTCCCAGCTCCTGTGCTCTGACAAATTGAATCACTCATAGAATCTCAAGGTTGGAAGGATTCTTAAGGATCCGTTAATCCAGTCTCCTCCCTGAAGCGTTCGCTGCCTCTTATTGTTCCCCTATAGTGTCCCCTCCTCTGCTCATGGGGTTTCTTCCTTCTGAAATTCCACTTCAGCCAGGCCTCCCTGTTGTAACTTCAAGACCCATCCTCCAAGACTACCTGAAGGCAGCATCTTCATGAAACCAGCTCAGTGTGGTCTCTCTCCTCTACACCCCCATAGCACTCAGAACTGCTCTTGAGGAAAGGGAGCTAATATTTAGTCAGTACTTGCTATGTTTAAGGAAAAACCTATAGCTTATCCCCATAGCAGCCCCATGAAGTTGGTATTAGTATCCTTGGTTTACAGATGAGGAAATGGAAAATCACTGGGATTAAGTAATTTATCCAAGGTCATTTAGCTACAAAGTTGTAGAGTTGGACTTCAAATCCTAATTTGTTGGTAACAAAACTTGCTTTCCCCACCATACCTTATGGACTTATATTTGGCTCTGTGCTATAGCTGTCATTTGACACTTGCCATTCTGTGAGCTCCTGGGAGGCAATCTTTTTGTCTTTCTCAGTAGTAATTATAGTAATGTGGATGACAAAACTGAGGTGCAGGGAGGTTAGGTAATTTGTCCAGAATCAGGTAGCCAGTAGGGCCAAGCTGGATATTTAGTAAGTGTTCACTAAATTAAACTGAACTGAAGTATACAGCAATTATTCCATGGTCCTCTTTTTTTTTTCACCATTAAAATGCAATTTAAAGAGTGTGCTTTGTACTCTTTTGGTTCTTCCATGGTACTTGAGTCTCAGATAGACTACTTGAGTGGAGTGCATTGCACTCAGATCTACTCAAGTAACAATCATCTGTCCATCCTTCTTTGTCTTCTCTTGAGAAAGCTGTCTTCCTGGGCTGGACCCTTTCTCCACATATCCTCAGGATGTGAAGCTGCTGACCTTGCCCTTTGCCCCCTTTCCACCCCCTGCCTTAGCCTGCCCAGCTCCCTCAGGGACAGATGTCAAATGGCCCCCGAGTACTTCACTGCACAGAAGATGAAGAAAGCCTATTACCTAACCCAGAAAATTCCTGATCAGGTAGGAGACTGCCTTCACCCCAGTAGCAGCAGAAATATTCCCTGGTCAAACCTGGGCGACCCGAAGGCAAGCAGCTTTTTTTCCCTCTGGGGCAGGGCTTCCTATGATCCCCCGATGTGCAAGGATTTGTTGGCATGTATGTCACTCCAAGAGAAAGTCGATGGCCTTTATTATGCGTTCAGCAACCACTGCTCTTACCTAAATGCTGTACCAGCTCACCCTTCTTGTCAGAGCCATAGACCCTTTGGGTTTCTTTCCCTGAGGGGCACTGAGCCCTTGGAAGGCTTGATTTTCTCAGAGCAGATGAGGGAGCCAGACATGGAAGAGGGGGAGACACAAGGCTATGGACAAATCTGAGTTGCTGGATTCTGATCTTGACTTCATCCAACAAATCACTGAGTCTCTGTGCCCCCATGGCTCTTCTCACCCTGACCAAGAGTCTCTTAATTTCCCAGCTAAGCTCAGTAGGCTTGGGAATGGATGAGGCCCAGAGCTAGCCCATCAGGCTGCCTTGGTGGTCCTTTGAGAGTTGTGGAGCCTTAGGACCCCAGAGCTGTACTCCTGGTCCCTCAGCTTCTTGATTCTCTGCCTCTGGCTTACACTCTCTGCCACCGTTTTCCTCCCTGTTCCTTGGGCCATAGGACTTCTATGCATCTGTGCTGGATGTCCTAACACCAGATGACGTTCGGGTTCTGGTCGAGATGGAGGATGAGTTTTCTCGCCGTGGACAATTTGAACGAATTTTTCCTTCTCGAATCTCTTCTCGCTATCTCCGCTTTTTTGAGCAGCCACGATATTTCAACATTCTCACCACTCAATGGGAACAGAAGTACCATGGCAACAAGCTCAAAGGTGATGTGTCCCCGCTGCCCACACGAAGCCATGTTTAATGAGAGATTAAATCCCAGTAGACCAAGAAATGGGCCTCTCTGGCAAGAAAAATAGACCAGTTGATTCCACTCTCTTAAGTCCCACCCTTGTTAATCTTGTCCTAGGAGTAGATCTGCTTCGGAGTTGGTGCTACAAAGGGTTCCACACAGGAGCCATCTCTGAATCTGCTCCAGTGGTGAGTGATGCTATTGGAGTGCAAGGGGACAGCTCCACCTCAGGCTTTTCCCTCTTTCACCTTAAGAATACAGTGGGAGTTGGGTGTAGGTCCGGACCCTCTCACTTCTTCCCAAAGTCCTGCAGGCCTGTGTGTTTCATGACCCTTCCCTTTCAAGGAATAATTGCCTCCAGGATTCCCTAGATGCCTTTCTTTCAAGGATCAAAAGTACTTTGTAGACTCTTATAGTTGATTATGATCAATTATAGAAACTACATATGCATGCTGACCCAGACTGAGGGCATGCACTCTAAATAAAAATAGAAGCGGTGTTAGGTAGTAAAAACAAAAAAGAAAGAAAGAAAGAAAAGAAGTACTTTATAGCCTCAACTTCTTGTCTGGATCACGAGAGAACCAAGATTTTTCCCCATATAGGCCCATGCCTGCAGGGTAGGGAAGGGATGAGCCCTTTGTTCCTGCAGGGGTAGAGCTGGGAAAGTGTCTTAAGACCCAAACACTCTCCCCTGACCTCTGTCTAGCCCTTTTGGCCTCATTATTTCGTTTGCTTTTAGTGGTCTCTCCCAACATCAATTCTGACTGTCCCAAAGGGCGATGTGACACTCAGTGCTTTCTCCAAATCGGAGACTGGCAAGCTGGGGTGAGTGCTGCCTGGGAAAGGGAAGGGTGTTGGGTGTGAGTTCAGGGAGTTTTCTTCCTTCCTCTCTTCCCAGACTATGATGAGATCAGCATTCTTCAGTTAGGGGTTGGTGGGAATATCAGATTATGGAGCCACGATATCCTCTTCCTGGTGCCCAGTGAAGCTGAGCTGGAGCACAAAATCATCCACAGAAGCAGGCACTTTCAGCTGTACTGACATGAATGTTGTAAATGCCTGGTCTAGACTCTGAAGGTAGCAGATTGTGGGTTAAAGTCTCAGCTACACAGTCTCAGTCCTTTCTCTCCCAACCTGTTCCCTTCAGAAAACATGGCTCCTCCGAGGGAAACATACCACTCTCTGAAGATGGGACCATGCCCAAGCCCAAGAAGATCCAAGCTGGCGTTTCCCTTTTCTCCAGGAAACCCAATTCCTCAAAGAACAGTGAGGACACCGGCAAAGAGCCTGGCCTCTCCACCCAGATGTTACCTGTGATCAAGTACTCTGGGCAGACTTCGAGACTCTCTGCTTCCCCCACCTCCCAGTCAACTGGTGACTCCCTCCTGGCTGCTGTGAGCCCATGACTGGCCTCTCTCCCCTAACCTGCCCAGGCGCACCAGCATTAGCTACCTCATGGGAACCGGCCAGCCGGCCAGCCTGAGCCCCCACCCCCTCCACCTTGCCCCTCCTCAGAGTATCTTTTGAAGTGGTTGAATTGTAGAAATGGGTATCTGGTGGGCTGGAGGGGTGGTGGGGACGGGGAGAAGGTGAGGAAGGTTCACTGGCTGACACCTCATATCTCAGCAGAGAAGCCTATGATGGCCACTCAGCCTTATAAAGCAGGGTTTGGTTTCTACCTTCAGAGAGCCATGTGTGGTTTGTTTTAGGCCTTGGTGCAGTGATTGAGTCACAGCTCAAGAGGAGAAAACATACTGAACATATTTGGGCCTGAAGTCCCTTGCTCTGTAATGACTCTGAAAGTCATTATTTCCTAAGGTTTCTTCGTCCCTCCTCCTCAACCCCCTGTCCTGAGAAGCAACTTTCAGGAACCTTCAGACTTCCTCAGTAGATAGGCAGAGGCCATGGCATGCTGAACCGATTTCCTGTCATCCTAGTCTTGGGGGCGTCACCACCTCCAGATCATTTGTGCTTCATATACTCACCCAGCCAATAGCGCTAGATCTTCCTACTCTGACCTTACATCACTCCTTGTTCAACCTTCTGGACTGCTCTCTCATGGATGTTACCTCTTCAGCTCTTGGCTTTCTGTGAGATGAGAGTTTCTGTGAACTTTATGAATTTCCCATGGCCTTAGTAAAGGAGCCCAGATAATCCCAATTGCTGTTGCTTTGTCCATATTTCAGAGGGTGCAATCCAAGAGGAGGGTAGAAGGAGCTGTGGTTTGCCCTGATTTCCCAATTTCCCAGGTTGCTAGGGCAGACTGGTGGCCTGGCAGGTGGGTTTTAGGAGTAGTCACTGCTGTGGAATGGGCTTCCAGTCAGGCTCCAGACTAAACTCTTGTGCTCTGAACTGGATCTGCCTCCGTCCCCAAGATTCAGTAAACAGTGAGTTTTCAATTAATGCTGACCCCCACTGCGTGAACTGTACGTACGGAGATCTCACAGGACACGCACAGCTTAACCAGAACCTCTACTTCTCTCCTGGGCTAGAGTGGAGCCCCGGGGGAAGCCAAGGTGGGAGAGTTTAGATCAGAAAGGATGTTTTCTCTTGGGATATGATCCTCCTTAACTGGACACTTCCTGGTTGTCCCTCGCCCCTCTCCCCAGCCCTACAGTCCCTTTACTTCATTTTTCTAGCAGTGGGGCCCAACACAAGCCAACTGGTCCCCTAATTCTGACACTCAAATTTTCTCTTTTGCGTATCAGGCAGGAAGCTCTGCTCATGGTCTCATCCTGGGCTTTCTCTGCCTTCATTTTTGAGCTTTGCAGAGATGGAAATTACGTGGCTTCATGGCTCCAGGATTTCTGTGGTGAGTTGGGATGGAGCTCTGGAAAAATCACTGAGAGTCCTGACTGGGTTCAAGGCCACATAGTTAATGTGTGAAGGTCATGTTGACAGTTGTGAAGAAAGCTTGATGGCACAAAGTCCAGGGACATTGCTGCTTAGTGGTAAGAACTTCAAAGTCAGGCCCGCAAGAGAGGTCCTGGACAGTCCTGTTAAAGCTCTTCTGATAGAATTGAAGCCAGCTCCCTCTTGCCCTATGTGGGTGCAATATTTTAGTGCAAATATTAAAACAAACTTTGTGACAAGGTAATAAGCAGCCTTCCTAAGAAAACTAGCCACCTGCTTAAGCAGTTCTATTGTGGCTGATCCTCTGGTGCCAGGGGTTAGGTGTGGAGGCCTGACTGAGCTGTGCTACTCCCTGGCAACCAGCTTCAATTCTTTGCCTTCTGAGAATCCCCAGATGGTACAACCAATCCATTTCCATTCCCATAACTGCAGAGGGACCAGCATTGTAGCACGATGGGAAGCAGGGCAGTGGGCAGCAGGGAAGGGCTTCGGAAATTAAATGAGTGATGAAAATAGAATATTCTTAGTAGATTAAAACATGTTTGCACATACTTATAATTTAAAATTTTCATCACCTTTGAGTATCTAATAGGTGTGAGTGTGTTGCTGGGTAGGAGAAAGGAATGAGGTGTGTGTATCATACTTCCCTTTCAACCTTGAAAGAAAGTTAAATCTTGCTTATTCAGCATCCAGCATAATATACTTAGCAATGAATACCCGCAATATAAGGTATTTGGCTAAATAAGGAATTTGGGGGAAGCAATGAGATTTGGGGGAAAGTTTAAATTTGAGGGTATAGTAGAGTAAATGTTTGTCAGTACATGTCAGTTTTTACCTAACTTGGTAATATACCCAGTCCCTGTTTGGAGAAAGGGGAGTGAGTGCTCCTGAGTCAAGGAATGAAGTGTACAGGGTATTTCTGAGACAGTGGAGTAAGGATTTGGGATATTGGGGCAAGGACAGTGGTCATTGTTTATTCAATTCAAATTCACTCAAGGTTGATCAGAAACTAAGGAACTTAGAATGAATACTTAATCAAGAGGTGGCATGGCGATAGGAAAAGAACATAGACCTTGGAGTCTGACCTTGGGTACAGACCTCAGTTCTGCTGTGTAGACTTGGGCATGTCATCTAAGTTTTTAGTCTGTTTTTAAATAATGAGAACTTAATACCTACATTGCAAGGTTGTGAAAATTAAGCAAAACATAGTAAAAGCACCTAGAACGTAGAGAGGACTTAATGCACGGCTTTTCCTTTCTCCATTTGCTATCCAAGTCCAGTTCTTTGGGTAGGGAAAGGCAGGCAAGAAGTGTAAAACCCTTTCCACGAGGGAATGAAGCAGCTGTAGAAACATTACAGAAGTGAAGAAGGCCAGAACAGGGCCTTCACCCCTACCTTCACCCCAGTGCACACAGAAACCCTATCACCATTATTCAGTCTACTGTTTCACTCTTTGTGGAGGATTTATTTCTTTGGTTAAATATTTCACAGACAAAAAACAAATTAAAAGTATGCGAATTGGGGTTCTTCAGTCCTATTCTGTGAGAAGTTTTGATAAGAAAGGGAAGCAGGGGAGCACCAGGTGCATGGGGGCTGGAGATGAGGAGCAGGTACAGAAAAGAGAGACCTTGAACTGGAGCCAAAGAGGTACCGACGAAACAGCTGTGCCAATGGACACTTGTTACAGGTATGTTCTTATGACTTTAGGCTATTTAGTTGAGGGTGATTGTCCCTCCTGTCACCCTAGCGAACTTGGCCTTTTAAATCCCCCTTTGGCAGTATGCACCCTCGTTAATGTCAGGCTCCTTTGACTTGACTGTTGATCAGCTTTGGAGCATTGAGAGCTGAAGCAGCCTCATGTTGTTCTTGGCAGATTTCTCAGAGGTAGAATATACATGAAGGATCAATAGCAAGGTCAGCGTTTACCAAAACCCATTTGTGCCTTAATTTTTATAATGGACTAAGACACGTGGAATGCTAAGGACTGTCATGGAGAAATCTAACACAGTTTTGAAAAAATAATGTCTAAGTTTCAACTGGTAAAGTGGGGAGACCAAAGGCTACTTCGTAGGGTGGTTACGAGGGTTCAGTGAGGGGTGGGGTAGCGGGATGTCCATAAAGCACCTAGCAAAGTGCCTGATACATATATAGTGCAGATTTTACATAGATTCTAAAACAGAAAAAATCCAAAACAGTAACATCACCAAAAACATTTTCATAAAGTAACAATAACATGCTATGTAACAGCATGTTACTATTACAGGGGTATTATGAGACTATTACAATAGCATGTTGCTGTTACAAAACAGTGATAAAAAACACTTTGATTCTGAACATGGAACAGCAAACTAGGTAATTTAGTCAAGATTATTAGAAAGATTGGAGCCCTTAACATTAGTTGTCAGAGAAGTGCAATTAAAACTATAATGATGCAGGCTGAGAAGCCAATGGGGTAAAGCTACCATCTGTGGGGTTATGACTGAACTTCTAAATAAGAATCCCACAAAGGCAGAACCATAAGGGCAAGTGTGGCTAAGCCTCCTTTGGCTGACCCCACAGTTCCTGCTGGATGCAGGCAGCCCTCCCTCCGCCATGAGGCCTGAGCAGAGAGCCTCTAGTCCAGATGGAGGGGGCTGCTCCCTCACATGTCGCATTCCTGGGGAACCTGGTGCTAAACCATTCGTAGACAATCTGCTTCTGGGTCAAGTTTGCTGTGTCATGGAACAGCTCCCTCACAGATCTATCAAAAGTCAGCCCTCAACATAAAGAGTTTGGGAAAAAATTAAAAGGCTAAATTAAAAAAAAAGCAAACCCAGAAAACAAAAGGAAAAGGAAAACTACGAGGAGACACCACTTACACAGTAGAATAGTTCAAATAACTGAAAATATCAAGTGTCTGAGAATGTGGCGTACATACATTGCTGGTGGGAATGCAAAGTGGTACATTGGAAAACAGCTTGGTAATTTATTACAAAGTGAAACACACTCAGCATATGACCCAGCAATTCACTCCTGCTTGCAAATGTTCACAGCAGTTTTATTCGTAATAGCAAAAACTTGGAAACAACCCCAGTATTCAGCAACTGGTGAATGAATAAACCAATTGTGATACATCTGTTCAGTACTACTTAGATATAAAAAAGAATGAACTAACACAGGCAACAACATGGATGAATCTCAAAAGCATGCTAAGTGAAAGAAGCCAGAAACAAAAGACTACATACTTTATGATTCCATTTATATAACATTCTAGGAAAGGCAAACTAGTGACAGAAAGCATATTAGTGGTGGCCAAGGACTATAGATGATGGAGGGGAGTGGCTGTTGAGGGGCACATTGGAAATATTCTATATCTTGATTGTGATGGTGGTTATATGATTGTACATTTGTTGAAACTCTGAATTATACACTTAAGATGGATGAATTTTATTGTAAGTAAAGCTGACTTTAAAAAGGCCAACAAGATAGCATTTCATGATGCATATGCAAGTTAAAACCACAATGAAATAACTCTAGAATAGTTAACATTTAAAAGGCAGCCAAGACCAAATGTTGGAGAGGATGTACAACAATTGGGACTTTCATATATAATTGTTGTGAGTGTAAAATGGTACAATCACTGTGAAAGTTTCTTATAAGTTAACACATATTTACCTGTGACTCAGCAATTCCACTTCTAGATATTCTCTCCTGGGCTTGATCAAATCATATGTCCCGCCAATTGTGTATTGTGGCTTTTTAATAATAACAAAAAATTGGAAACAACTCAAATGTTCTCAACAGAAAATCAGATGAACTATGGTTTGGAATGCTAGGCAATAAAAAGAAGCAGACCCACTGATTTATGCGACATGAATGAATCTCAGAACTGTGTTGAGTGAAAGAGGGCAGACACAAAAGAATACATATTGTATAGTTCTGTTTATGTGGAATTCAAGAACAGAGGACACTACCCTATGGGGATTAAAGTCAGAACAATGGTTCCCTGTGGGAGTTAATGGTATAGTAAGAAAAGGGGCACAAAGGAACTTTCTTGAGTTATGGTAATGCTCTGTTCTTGATTGGGATGTTGTAGATGATACACTAGTTAAAACTCATCAAATTGTTCCCTTAATACCTATGCATTAAAGATAGCAATTGTTTAAAATAGAGGTGAAATTGAGGTAACATAAAATTAGCCATTTTAAAGTGATAACTGAGTGGTATTTAGTATATTCACAGTGTTGTGCAACCACCACCTCTATCTAGTTTCAAAACATTTTCATTAACCTAAAAGGATACCAGGGCCCTACTTTCCTCCCCCCAGCCCCTGCTTTTGTTTTTCTGTTTCTATGGATTTACCTATTGTGGATATTTCATATCAGTGGAATCATACAGTATGTGATCTCTTGGTGTCTGACTTCTTTCACTTAGCATGTTTTCAAGGTTCATCCACTTTGCAGTATTTATCAGCACTTCATTCCTTTTTATGGCTGAATAATATTACATTGTATGTATTTACCACAGTTTATCCGTTGATCCACTGATGAGTATTTGGGCTATTTCTGTGTTTTGGCTATTGTGAATAGTGCTGTTGTGAACATGATTTTGAGTATGTGTTCATGTTGTATATATGTTTTTGAGTACCTGTTTTCAGTTCTTTTGGATATTCTATTAATTTGCTAGGGCTGTTGTAACAAAGCATCACAATTGGATGGCTTAGAACAATAGAAATTTATTGTCTCAGTTCTGGAGATTAGAAGCCTGAGATCAGGGTGTCAGCAGGGTTTGTTCCTTCTGAGGACTATGAGGGCGAATCTGTTCCATGCCTCTCTTCTAGTTTCTGGTGGTTTGCTGGCAATCTTTGGTATTTCTTGGCTTGTAGACTCATCACCCTGATCTCTGCCCTCATATTCGCACGGCATGTTCCCGTGTCCATATCTGTGTCCAAATTTCCCCTTTTCGTGAGAATTCCAGTCATACTGGAATAGGGCCCACCCTACTCCAGTATGACCTCATCTTAACTAACTACATCTCTGCGCTGTTCCCTAAAAAGGTCACAGTATGATCAGTACTTCAACATAGTATTTAGGGGCACACAGTTCAACCCATCACAAGCATATACCTAGGAGTGGAGTTCCTATGTCAGATTGGCTACTGATAATGCTATGTTAATGATGTTATCAGTCTGAGTTTGCAGCTCTCTGGAATAATTATGATAGCCGTTGAAGTATATGGTATATTTAGGGTTTGTAGTTCCCTGATGCCTATATCTGGGAGATTATTTTTCCCAAAGGTAGCTGCAACACACATGCAATTCTACAACTGACCATGCCACTCTTTCATCAGGAAGTGGAGTCTAATTTCCTTCGCCTTGAATCTGGGGGAGCACACGACAGCTCTGACTGAAAGAGCGTAGCATCACTTTTGAAGCTGGGTCATAAAAGATCATGCAGCTTCTGCCTTATTCTTTGGAACCTTCATGCTTGCAGTCCTGAGCTGCCACATGGTAAATCCTACCCTGCGGCTGCCATGCTATGAGGAAGCCAAGCCACAAGGAAAGGCCATGTGAGGACACTCTGGGCAACAATGCTTGTCTCTGAGTCATCAGGCACTTCCGGATTCTTCCAGCCCATGGCCTTTGTGTCTTCCAAGCTGAGGTCTCAGACATAGAACAAAAACAAGTCATTCCCACTATGCCCACTCCAAATTCCTGATCCCCAGCCTCCATACCCATAATAAAATGATTGTTGTTTTAAGTTGCTACATGTTTGGGCAGTTTGTCATGCAGCAATAGCAAAAGTCTAACATAAATTTTTGGTTTTACTGTATAGTACTAGAATGTTAGAACACTTTAGCTCCATTTACCCCTTCCTGTCTTTTGCATTATTATTGTGATATTGTGATTTATAAGAAATACACATTTGGTCATTCAGATGACCAAAATATATTTCTCATACACATTTGGTCTTCATCCATGGTTCTGGGCTCACAGGTCCCAAGCCTCTTGGAATGTCCTGAGTGATAAGAGCAATAGGAGAATCTTTTGTTATAGTATTTGGTCTCTTGTCCACAGTTCCTGAAAATGCTTTAGAGCCATAAAGGTGAAATGCTTGTCTTGCTAGTCATAACAAGCTCCTTTCCACCACAACTATTTATGTTAGTTAGGTGGCTTTTGGAAAGCACCTATGGATGAGGGCTGGTTGAAAGGGGAACCAATCATGCGTAGAGGTTGGAACTTTCAGTTCCACCACCTGATTTCCAAGGAGGGGCTGGATGTTGAATCAATCACTGATGGCCAATGATTTAGTCAACCATGCCTATGTAATGAAGCCTCCATAAAAATCCAAAAGGAGGGCTTTCAGAGAGTTTCCAGGTTGGGGACCAGAATGCTTCCATGTGCCACCATGCCAGGGCCAAAGTCCATGGATATAGAAACTCCTTTGTTCCAGACTTTGTTCCAGCCGGCCCCTTCATCTGTTGATTTGTATCCTTTAATATCCTTTCTAATAAACCAGTAATCTAATGAGCAAATGGGTTTTCTGAGTCTGTGAATCACTAACAAATTAATTAAACCTCAAAAGAAGGTCATGGGAACCTCTGATTTATAGCCAGTTGGTCAGAAGTACAAATAACTTGGATTTGTGACTGGCATCTGAAGTCCAAGGAGGGGGTCATTGAGAACCTCCAATCTAACTGGTTGGTCAGAAGCACAGATAACAACCTGGGCTTGTGGTTAGCATCTGGAGTGGGACTGAGCCCCTAACCTGTGGACTCTGATATTCTCTCCGAGTAGATAGATAGAATTGAGTTGGAGGACACACAGCTAGTGTGGGAACATTGCTTGTTGAAACACCCACTGCCCCACCCCCTGCTATTGGAATTGCGTGAGCAGAACCTCTTAATTACTGATGTACATTTTAATTCTTCATATATTGCAAGGCTGCTGAAAGCAACATTCTGTTTTGGGTAGGCTTTTCTCCTTAAATTTTCAGTCTCCCATGCTTGAAGAATTTAACTAAGGCAGGTGCCTTTCTCTGGGTATCACAGAGCACAGCCATTAAGAACTATACACCTTCACTGATGCCAGAAGGTCTCCCCCAGACCTCAAGAAAAGAAGGAGAGAAACCAAATGCTTTGTATGTTTTTCGACAAAATAATTGATACTCACTGGTTCTGCTAATTTTAGGAGGAAATTGTCTTGCTTTGACATCGGTCTACACTGCACAGTCTTTAAAGGGAAGAAAAGTAATTTATCCAGAGTGAGAATCTTACTTTTACAGGTCAACCGGTAGAGGAACCAGATCAGCAACCATGCTGTCATGCTCCTGGGTGGAGATATTGTAAATAAAACAGGAACTGGTGGTTCTTCCTTTGCTATCTCCCAGAAGCAGGGTGCCCACCCACTCTGCACCTGTGGACTATGGATGAAACTCAGGGTGGGATGAGACTACCAAACTAAGACTCAGAACCTTACTAGAAGAAAAGGATCCAGGCTCCTTGGGAGAAGAAGTAGGATTTTCCTGAGGAAGAGAAGGTAGAGTTTCTCTAGTTTGAGATCTGAAGAAGAGGATGAAAGAGGGACACTAAAACCAAAGTATCAGGGAACCTGGTTAGAAGCATCTTGAAGCACAGAGTCTGGAAGGTCTAGGCCACCAGCTGCCTCCCTTCATGCAACCTGAAGAAGAAGTGAGACTTGACATGTTTGATTCTCCTACATAGTTATTCCCCTCTGGAAATATCTTTACATTTTGCCAAAGGAACATGTGCTGTTTGGTATGTTGGTCCTGTGAACACTAAGGAGGTTGAGTGGCATGAGATAGAAGGGTCTGTTGTTCCCATCTCCTCCTGGCCTCCAGTGAAGATGAAGGGTCACCCTTGGGTGGACTGTAACTCTGAGCTCCAGGTGGTCATTGCAGTATCAGAGGATGACCTAGAGGCAGCTCCTGAAAGCTACATGGCACCAAAGGAATGTTCTAGAGTGAAATGGAAGATCAAATCTTCTGCTGAATCCTGTAATTTAAAGATTGTTGCTCCCAGATAGGAGATGGGGGCATCCAGCAAATTCCTGAGCTATTTAATAAATAATTTTGGAATAATTAGATATTATTTAATTAAATGGTGCTAGAATAATTAGATAATAAGTTAAGACTCTAGGTCACACCAAAACCAAAAATTAATTCCAGGTAGATTGAATTTCTAACTGTGAAAAAAAAATGTAGCAGGTAAAAAATGACACTATTGAATACAAGGTAAAATATAGGAGGGATTTTTTCCCCCTAATAATCTTGGGGTAGCCCCAAGCAAGATATGAAACTCAGAATTCATAAAAGGGAAAAATTCCAGATTGGACCACACAGAAATTAACAAAAGATACTCTAAATACAGCCAAGATATAGGGAACAGATGACAAGGAGAAAATACTTATAGTGTACATAACAGACAAAGATTACTCTCTCTAGTTAGAAAAAGAATACCAGCAAACCAATAAGAAAAGACAAAAAAATCCAATAGGAAAAAGATCAAAGGACATGAGTAAAGACTTCATAGAATAAATAAAAAGTCAATAAACATATTTTAAAAAAAACCAACCCTGAGCCTTTATAATATTTAAAGGAATTCACATTAAAGTATCAACATGATTTTTTTCACCTACAGGTGAAAAAAGGTTTATATAAATATAGAACAAGATTTGAAAGAATATGCACTAAATTATGAACAGTGCTTCGTTTTGAAGGAGTATAATTGGGGAAGCAAATCAACAGCCTTTAATTTTGTTACTTTATGTAATTTTTCAAGTGGTGGGATTATGGGTGATTTTTTACTTTGAGAATGTTATCCTGTACAATTTAATTCCTTGAAAAGACATGCAAGCATAAATTCTCTATTCTCAGGAGGTTTGGAAGGTTTTTGTTTATTTATTTTAATTTTCAAAATTACAAAAATGAGGGGGGAGGGTGCATAGCTCAGTGGTAGAGTGCATGCTTAGCATGCACAAGCTTCCGGGTTCAATCCCCAGTACTTCCATTTAAATAAAGAAGTAAATACATGAATAAATACATAAATAAATAAACCAAAACAAACAAACAAACCACAAAAATATGAGTTAAGTAAAAGAATTAGATCAGTTTTTACCTATTCTCACACCTCATACGAATTTTTATTCACACTGTTTGTCCTTGTACTTAATTCATGGATATCTTCAATTATACATTTTCCCCAACATACTTCTTTCTAGATATCCTCTTTCTCCTGAAAATAGAAAAGAAAAGAAAAAAAGAAAGAAAGGAAAAATAAAGTATTATATGTATATAAGAATTTAATTATCTTAATCATTATTATTGCTTTCAATAGTTTCTGGCCCTGGGTGAGGACCCAAGTGATCAAATCAATATATAGCAAGACATCACTTTGGGAAACAAGTTTTCTGAAATGTCAAAAGAAAATGTTCTTGCTATGTGACTTTTGAATAAGCCAGTTGATAAAAACAAGGTATTACACAATTCCAAGAGTCCAAAGAGCATGCTGTGAAGTTGTGTCCCTGCCACCTTTGTCCCTGAGGCCAATAACTATTACGTGTTTCTTGTGTATTCTTCCAGAATTATTCTATGCCTGTGTAAGTACTGGCATATTTATATGGTAGCCTACCATACCACTGTTTTGCATCTTGCTTTTTTAATTAAAAAATATATCTTGGAAATTGTTATATATCAGTACATCTAGAGCTGTATCATTGTTTTTTAAAGCTGCAAATGATTCCAGTGCATGGATTTACTATAATTTATCTCATTAGTCCCCTACTGATTGGTTTAAGTTGTTTCCAATATTTTCTTTTAATGCTGTAGTAAATATCCTCGTATATTTGTGATGTTGCAAATGTGGAAGTATATTCATAGAAAAAAATCCCTACAAATAGGACTACTGGTTCAAAAGTAAGTGCACTTTCAGCAAAGGAAACTATAAGCAAAACAAAAAGACAACATGTGGAATGGGAGAAAATATTTGCAAATTGTGCAGCTGACAGGGGCTTAACTTCCAGAATATACAAACAGCTCATACAACTCAACAGTAACAACAAAAAAATCAAACAACCCAATCAAAAAATGAGCAGAAGACCTAAACAGACATTTCTCCAGTGAAGACATACAGATGGCCAATAGACACACAAAAAGATGCTCAATATTGCTAATTAGCAGAGAAAGGCAAATCAAAACTACAATAAGATATCACCTCACGCCAGTCAGAATGGCCATCATTAAAAAGTCCATAAATAATAAATGCTGGAAAGGGTGTAGAGAAGAGGGAACCCTTCCACACTGCTGCTGGGAATGTAATTTGGTGCAGCCACTATGGAAAACAGTATGGAGATTCCTTAAAAAACTATAAATATAGTTACCATATGATCCAGTAATCCCACACCTGGGCATATATTTGGAGAAAACTCCAATTTGAAAAGATATACACACCCCAATGTTCCTAGAAGCATTATTTACAATAGCAAAAACATGGAAGCAACCTAGATATCCATCGACAGATGGTTGGATAAAGATGTGGTGTATATACACACACACACACACACACACACACACACACACACATACACAATGGAATACTACTCAGTCATAAAAAGAATGAAATACTGCCATTTGCAACAATGTGGATGGACCTAGAGATTAGGATACTAAGTGCGGTAAGAGAGAGAAAGACAAATATCATATGACATCACTTATATGTGGAATCTTAAAAAATGACACAAATGAACTTATTTACAAAACAGAGACTCACAGACAAGGAAAAGAAACTTAAGGTTACCAAAGGAGGAGTCGGTGGGGAGGGAAAAATTAGGAGTTGGGGTCAGCAGATACAAACTACTATGTATAGATAAACAACAAGGTCCTACTGTATAGCACAGGGAACTATATTCAATAGCTTGTAGCAACCTATAATGAAAAAATATATATATATATCTGAATCACTGTGCTGTACACCAGAAACTAACAAAACATTAAAAATCAACTATATTTCAGTAAAAAAGTAAGTGCACTTCTAATTTTGAAAGCTCTGTAGCAATTTGCACTCCTTTGAATCTTGATTGAGAGTTTGTTTCCCTACATCCCAAATACATAATGATACCAAGCTTTTGATCTTTGTCAATCTTAAAGATGAAAAATGGTTTCTTCTGATTTGTCTTTCTTATTATAAGTAAAGTTGAACATTTTTGCATGTGTTAAAGAGCCATTTATAGTTCCTCTCCTATGAATTATCCATTAATGATGTTTTAGTTTTTATTTCATTTCTTTATTTGCTTTTAAACTTTCACTCAAATTATAAAAATAATTTTTGCTATTTAAAGATTCTCTTTTTAGGTAAGAAAAAAAAAATCAAGCTACATGGTGTTTATGAGACATACTTCTAAATCAAAATAACCTAGAATGATAGAAAAATAGAGGGATAAATAAAAGATACGTCAAACAAATGCATAAAAAATAAAGCAGGAGTTAACAACATTAAAGTCAAACAAACCAAATTCAAAG